GCATATTCTAGCTTTGGCCTAACAAAAGTCATGAACAATTTCTTTAGTATATCGCCATCCATGTATTTAAATGCAATTCTGAAGTTAGAAAGCATTGCATAGGCTCCTTGCACAATATTCTTAATGTGGTCCTCAGGTGATAGTTTTCTATCTAGAACCACTCCTAGATCTCTTTCTTTATCAGAATTCTTTAAAGATTTCTCACATAATATATAGGTTGTGGGGTCTATGTTCTCCTATTCCACATTCCATAACATGACATTTATTAACATTAAATTCCATTTGCCAAGTGGTGCTCCATATACTTATTTTGTCCAGGTCTTCTTGAAGGGCATGACAATCATCTAAATTTCTTATCCTTCCTATTATCTTAGCATCATCAGCAAACATGTTCATATAATTCTGTATACCAACTGGTAGATCATTTATGTACACAATAAACATCACTGGTGCAAGAACTGAACCCTGTGGTACTCCACTTGTGACATTTCTCCATTCCGATACATTGCCTCTGATTACTGCCCTCATTTTTCTATCAGTCAGAAAATTTTTCATCCATGATAGAAGCTTACCTGTCACCCCTCCAATATTTTCCAGTTTCCAGAACAACCTCTTATGTGGAACTCTGTCGAAAGCCTTTTTTAGGTCCAGATAGATGCAGTCAACCCAGCCATCTCTTTCCTGTAATATCTCTGTGGCCCGATCATAGAAACTGAGTAAATTCGATACACAGGATCTTCCAGATCGAAAACCATACTGTCTGTCTGATATTATATCATTTCTCTCCAGGTGTTCTACCCATTTAGTTTTAATTATTTTTTCCAATATTTTGAGTATTACACTTGTCAATGATACAGATCTATAATTAAGGGGGTCTTCCCTGCTTCCACTTTTGTAGATTGGAAGTATGTTAGCCTTTTTCCACACATCAGCTACAACTCCTGTAAACAGGGATGCCTGAAAAATCAGTTGAAGTAGCATGCTGAGCTCAGGTGCACATTCTCTCAGAACCCATGGTGAAACTCCATCTGGACCAACTGCTTTGTTCTTACTTGAGGTTATCTTGAGATGATTTCGGGGCTTTTAGTGTCCCCGCGGCCCGGTCCTCGACCAGGCCTCCACCCCCAGGAAGCAGCCCGTGACAGCTGACTAACTCCCAGGTCCCTATTTACTGCTAGGTAACAGGGGCATTCAGGGTGAAAGAAACTTTGCCCATTTGTTTCTGCTACTTAGCTCCTTGAGCATTTTTTCCACTTCGTCTCTAGACACCTCTATGTGCTCTATGTTGTTCTCTGGAATTCTTGTTGTGTCTGGTTTCCTGAAGATTTCATTTGGTACAAACACACTTTGGAACTTTTCGTTTAATGTTTCACACATTTACTTTTCATTTTTCGTGAATCTATTTCCCATTTTCAACCTCTGAATATTATCCTTTACCTGCAATTTGTTGTTTATGAATTTATAGAATAGACCTAGTTCTGTTTTACATTTGTCTGCAATCCCTTTTTCCAAATTTCTTTCTGCCTCTCTCCTCACTGCCGTGTAGTTGTTTCTCGCATCTTTGTATCGCTGGTATGTTTGGGGGTTTGGCTTCTTCCTGTATTGATTTCATTTTTGTGTCTTTTGGTCTCTGGCCCTCTCGCAATTTCTGTTGAACCAATCCTGTTTCCTAGTTCTGCATTTCTGTTTTGGTATAAATTTTTTTGTGCCTTTATCATATATTTCACAAAACTTGACATACATCTCATTCATTTCCTTGCCTAGCAACAAGTCTGTCCAATTATACTCACTAAAAAAATTTCTAAGGTTGCCATAATGTCCTCTCCTAAAGTCAGGTTTTTCAATTGCATCAACCTTCTTATTTTCTTCCAGATTATAACGCATTGCATACTTTATTCCCAAGAAGACATGGTCACTTTTACCCAAGGGAGGAAGGTATTGAATGTCAAATAATTCTTCCTCCTTCCTGATAAATATCAAATCTAGCATGGAGGGAACGTCCCCTTCCCTCATCCTCGTAGCTTGATTAACATGTTGATACAAGAATGTTTCCAGGATGAGGTCTACAAATTTACAGGTACAAAAATCTTCTGTTTTAGCTTCATATGCTTCCCAGTCTATGGATTTCAAGTTGAAGTCGCCGACTATCAACAGTTGTGATCTATCGTTATCTGCTCTCGCTATGATCTCTCTCATTATTGTTATAAGACCTTCTCGTTTACTATCTAGCTCCTCCTTTGACCATGTGCTGTATTAAGAGAATAATTTGTCTACCTCACTTAACCTTTAACTCTATGGCTGTAGTGTGTTACATTTGCTTGTTTACTTGTTTCCTTGGGATTGTAGGGAGTTTCTATCTCTCTGTTCGAGTTTTGTTGTTAGTTCCTTACCATGTGGGGTTTGTTTTGTTATGCCTACCTTTCTGGGTGCCGAACCCTGGTCGATGGCAGATAAGGAAAAACCCCAACCATAGGAGGGGTTTCCAGGGGCCATTACTTCCTGAAATCTCTCCGAAGGGGCCAGGTTCTGGCGCTGGTCCCTGGTAGGTCTGAACTCCATAGCTAATGTTCCAGTCTTATATAACATACATTAGCCCGATCAGCTCCAGGGAGTCATAGGGGCTCCCCACAGAAAATAGCATAGTTCTAAAACAGGGTATGTGAATTCCAATTATAACAACAAATATTTATAAATGTTCATTATAAAATTAACCCTTAACATGCTAGGGGTATAATATCCTTTCTTCCCCACAGGCACATGTAATTTTGAAAAAAAAAAATATATTTTTTCTTCATAACCTGTTAATTTGTATTCACTGATCACGGGAAAAATAATAAAAAAATCGTAAGTGGCATATATTGCCCGCTATAGGGCGGGGAAGTCTGGCAAAAAATAGGCGCTGACTCAGCGTGCGTCCCAGGCGGTCTGTTGCTCGCCAGCTGTCAGGCCGGAGTTGCCACAAAGAGATAATTACCTAATTATTTCAATGTCTCTGATTGTTTTTCATAGTTTTTTTGCTGTAATATTATTCAATAGTGTGTAGTTTGATATATTTATATAATAAAATGAGTGAATCATTGCTGTACTCAAAAATATGGTGTGCATATTGTTGATTCAATTATGTTCATCAATCAGTGAACAAATACTTTGTCGGTTATTACACTATAAGCACAGGTTATATATAAGTATCTGCATGTTTTGTTCACTATAACGAACCACTAAGTAGCTATTATGAGTCAAAAAGTAACGAAGAGTGGGATTTATTATGCTAGCGTTTGCAACCTAGGTTACTAGGATAATCTCCTGACAGAGTGTACCAGCTAGCCACTCTCGCCCTCCCTCAAGTCATCTGACTCGCCCACATTCTCCTCCCACAATACTGTTTTAGCTATAATTCACTATATACAGACGTTACATATAAGTATCTACATGTTTTGTTCACCATAACTGTACATCTAAGCTTGTATGGTGAGTAAAGGCACAAAGACGTAGGACCTCACACAGTCAGCTGATGGCTGCCGCCCTCAAGGCCAGACGCACTAATATTTCTCCTCCAACAATACTGTGTGGTGTTATTATGCTATATACACACATTATATATAAATATCTACCTGTTTTATTCACCATACTTGTACAAATAAACTGGTATGGTGCCCAAAGATCATTGTGGTAACCAGTAAACAACACCGTCGTCTGCAGGCTGGCGTCGTGCAGACGACGCCACCGCCCTCACCAAAATGGCGGCTCCCAACCTTCTCTTGCTGTTTATACCCTCTATACACACGTTATATATAAGTATCTACATTTGTGTTCACCATAGCGAACCACTAAGCTGGTATGGTGAGTGCAGTCAATAAAAGGTGGCCACACACAGTCAGAAGACATCGCCACCACCCTCCCTCCCTCCCACAGCATTACTCCTCCCTCCATGGCACACAGCACTAAATATCACCACAATCCTGCTATTATCAGAACCCTGGTCAGTTTTATCACAGTCAGGGGTCTTCTGTAATAATATCATCGCTACATAATAGCATGAACAAGTATATTTTGGCATTTTTAGGCGATGCTGTGGTCACAAGCTGAACAGCAGTGCTGTTAGCTCATGCTGCGTGCATCAGGCTTGGTTGCTCACTCAATACTGAGCCTAATAACACCCGGGAGTTTGGCCCACGATTTTTTTTTAAAATGGCATCTGTTTACAAGAGCCCTGATGAAGGTGTGGTGAACCCCGTGTATCTGCGGGCCATCTTGCGTAGTACTCCAACACATCATATGACGTGATGTGCAGTTGACTGGAACAACGTCCAACACGTCATATGACGTGATGCGCACTTTAAGGGTTAAACACGTGTGTATATCTACAGCAGAATTTATTATGCTAGCATTTGCAACCTAGGTTACTAGGATAATCTCCTGAGATATAAGGGAATACATGTAGAATTTAGAAGGAGATGCACTTCTTCAGTTATCAAAAGAATTACTAGGATCTGTTTAAGTTAACTGATTAAATTATCTCTGGCACCTTAACTATGATGTCATTAGTGTCAAATGAAGACAGTAGAATAATACAGTAAGCAAAATGAAGAACATGGCAACACACATGCACAGTTCTTGCCTAAATATTTGTTTTGTCATGATATGCCAACCCAACAAGTGGAAACAGAAGAAGAGACGACGACGTTTTCAGTCCATCCTGGACCATTATCAAGTCGATTATCAAGACAATCGACTTGATAATGGTCCAGGACGGACCGAAACATCGTCGTCTCTTCATCGTCTGGTGTGTGGTTTGATCATCACATCTTCAGCCATGTTATTGTGACTCGTAGTCTACATACAGAAAAAGAACTCTGTGGCACAGCAGGACCTTGGGGCTCATCCCATATGAAGTCTTTCTTTGAGTCCACAGTGCTGGGATACTCCTAGTGTCAATTATCCTCTAGCCTGAAGAGGGGCTGCACAAGTCACACTTAGTGCACTAAAATATATCTACTTACATCTGGACAAATTCCAACAAGAGCATCAGCATTTTGGTAAAACTCTTCTTTAAGTGAGATGACAATAGTCTGCAAGTGAGCCTTCATCTCCACAATATAGGATGCCACCTTGCCAATGTTGGTGTTGTCCAAGGCCGCATCAATCTCATCCAGAACGAAGAATGGAGCAGGCTGATAGCTGTCGTGAAGATAATCGTCATTCAATGCACAATAACATATACAGTATTAAGAGAACAATTTGTCTACCTCACTTAACCTTTAACTCCATCATACTAAACTGATGATGACTGTTTCCTCTCACATGGACTGGGAAGGATTTTTAAGGGAATTTGAGTTCACAAGCCTACCATATTACCTCACTACATCAACCTGTAACACCATAAATGTGTTTTGTAATTTATTTTACATACGAGTCAGTCATACAGGATATTTGAAGGCATCAGGTTGTCTGGCCTTAGCAATTAAAAAGTCACACATCTAGAGTGTTAATTGCAACAGGTCAGGTAGTGTGAAATGACCTTGCCTTCTGCTAAGCCAATAATTGCAGACGGTTGGCTGGGTGTGTCCTTCAGATAAGCCGCTGTGTAGGATTTTAGGGAGAGAGCTTGAGGCTATCTTACTGGTAGGCGGAGCTAGCTCCCAGATCTCCATAAATACCCATGGAACTGTACATTCAAAAACAGAAGGATTGACATTGAACAGGATAGCGAGAAAGATCTTTTGTCGCGAGGTCGCAGCAAGTCCAGGCTGTCAGGCCGGGTGGGGACTCTGTATGTCAACCGTGCACCCCCACCCCCATACCTCTTTATCAAACTTAGGCTCAAAGACATTGGTGAGTTGAACTTTAATGTTACCTGGTTGATACCTGGTTGATGGGGTTCTGGGAGTTCTTCTACTCCCCAAGCCCGGCCCGAGGCCAGGCTTGACTTGTGAGAGTTTGGTCCACCAGGCTGTTGCTTGGAGCGGCCCGCAGGCCCACATACCCACCACAGCCCGGTTGGTCCGGCACTCCTTGGAGGAATAAATCTAGTTTCCTCTTGAAAATGTCCACGGTTGTTCCGGCAATATTTCTTATGCTTGCTGGGAGGACGTTGAACAACCGCGGACCTCTGATGTTTATACAGTGTTCTCTGATTGTGCCTATGGCACCTCTGCTCTTCACTGGTTCTATTCTACATTTTCTTCCATATCGTTCACTCCAGTACATTGTTATTTTACTGTGTAGATTTGGTACTTGGCCCTCCAGTATCTTCCAGGTGTATATTATTTGATATCTCTCTCGTCTTCTTTCTAGTGAGTACATTTGGAGGGCTTTGAGACGATCCCAATAATTTAGGTGCTTTACTGCGTCTATGCGTGCCGTATATGTTCTCTGTATTCCCTCTATTTCAGCAATCTCTCCTGCTCTGAAGGGGGAAGTGAGTACTGAGCAGTACTCAAGACGGGACAACACAAGTGACTTGAAGAGTACAACCATTGTGATGGGATCCCTGGATCCCATGCGTTGAATGTGACATATGTGGTGTGTTTTCCAACTAATATGTTGTGTGATTTTCAGGGGCAGTCAGCCGTAGTGTCCTCAAATTCTCAGGTGGCGACTCGCCTTGTGTATTAATCTTGACATAGTGAACATCAAGTTTAATTTTTTTGTTTATTATTATTTTCTACCACAGACGTGGCCACACATTTACAATGCTAACCAGCATATATACATTTTCTTCTGTCCTCCATGGACAGGGTGAAAGATTTGTCAAACATACAGTTCAGAGATTTATTGAACCACAGAAGGTGATCGTAGTGCTTTTAAAATGTTAGGCTAAGCTACATACGTAAATACATAGATACACAGATTTATGAATTCATTAATGTGAATTTATAATGGTGAAATGTAATTCTGATCAGCTTTATACTTTATACACATACACACACACACACATACACATATACTGTATACACATACATACACATATATTTGTCTCTTTTACTCTGACAGGGTGAGATAGCTGACAAGAGAAACTAGTGTGCAATTAAGAACTTAACCACTGAAGGTGATTAAGATGCTTTTACAAGCTCAGGTTATATAGTTACATTACATGGTTAATCTAAGGTACAATCTAAGGTTAATCCAAGGTTAATCCAAGGTTAATCCATGGTTAATCCAAGGTACAATCTAAGGTATCATCAAGTGTTCCAGTACTCATATAGTAGTTACAGAGTTCAGCATACCTCAGCCCAGGAGGGCGAAAGTCAGACAATATGGGACATTCTACAATATAATGTTCAAATGAATGCATGTTTTCTCTTTCACAAAGTTGACACATTGTGTACTCGACATTTGGGTTTTGAGAAAGCTGCCAGATACGTCTATATCCAAGGCGTATTCTGGCAACTATGACATCACATTGCCGAGTTCTTGCTCTATTAGTCCCATATGTGAATGTCTCCTCACGATATCTAAATGTCTCCTCACGATATCTATCATAATATTTAATACTGCAACTTTCAGGTCTTTGTGAATTTGTTAGGTGGGTGAGATCTTCATTAGATATTTGTTTAAGTATTCTCTTTGTCACTGCTACTGAAACACCCATATCAATTTCTGCTACTGGTTTTCTACAAGCTGTCTTTGCAAGCATATCAACAGTGTCATGCCTTGAGATGCCAACATGTGATGGTATCCATAGGAATTTAATTTCAAATTTGTTTTCTTTAGCAGCTAAAACATTCATTCGAATATCACTATTTTCTGGGTGTCACTACGATGTGCATTCAGTGCCAGAAGTGCACTCTGTGAGTCACAATATATAAGTCCACTGCCTTTGTCTTTTAAAAATTCAGTGGCAAGGTATATGCCTGCAAGTTTAATTGTTTGAATTATGATTATTATCATAAAAAATATATAACTGATTAACTTATTCTTGTAAACTGCCTTTTAAAGTAGGTCAAAATATCTCAAATATACAACTCCCTGGGGCTCACTCTGGGTATAGGGTTTGACACATGCTACCCTGGTGACCGCTCACCAATCCCCCCCCCCCCCCCACCTTCCCACGCCTCACACTGTCCCAAGACACCCCCCTTTTAATTGTAAACCTTACATCATGATTTTCTATGATACAGTGCAAGCTAGAGTGGAGAGCACTCTGGAGTTTGCTGGCTTAAGATTTTGACTTAAATATTCTTGGTTATACGAGTGCATGCTAATAGCCGAGACATCATAACACCTTTGATAATATTGTACAGACAAGTTACATTCCTTGTCTAGTATATGATTTACCAGAATGGATGGTGCTTTCATCTTTAACCAATTCAACTTTCATCTTTAACCAATTTTGCTTTCTACCTTCTACATCTACTTTCTACTCATCTACCTTTTCTACTACTCTACTATCTTCTACTTTCCATCATTGATCCTATTCTCTTCCTCCCTCTAACATTCTGTTTCCCTTGGCCATAATCCTCTACCTCCCTTCCACAACTCTAATGGCCCACACCCCCATGAAATCCCTGAGTTAACATCTTTTCTGTGGGGAGCCCCTACGGCTCCCTGGAGCTTATCGGGCTAATGTATGTTATATTAGACCGGGACATTAGTTAAGGAGTTCAGACCTACCAGGGCTCAGCGCCAGAACTGGCCCCTTCAGAGAGGTTTCAGGGAGCAATGGCCCTGGAAAACCCCCTTGAGGTTGGGGTTTTCCTTATCTGCCATCGACCGGGGTTAGGCACCCAGAAAAGTAGGCATAACAAAACAAACCCCACATGGTAAAAAACTGAAACAAAAAAACAAACAGAGAGGTAGAAACTCCCTACAATCTCAAGGAAACAAGCAAACCAGCAAAATCACACTTTACTGCCGCAACGATCGTCCGCGCAGCCCTCCCCGCCCCGAAAGGGGGAGGGAGAAGCCCCGGACCTCACCGCGTCGGCTGCCTAGCATCAGTTCGTAAGCTAATGTCAACCAGGATAGACGCTTCTCTGGCCTCAGTTTCCGAGGCGGTTTTTGCCCTGTGTCGCGTTCACTGCCATCTGTTGTGTTGTGCGGTGGCCAGGTGTTCCAGGCTTCCCATAGATGTTATCCCCCCGGGCCGTGGTAACCCCTCTCGGGGCTCGGTGGACCATTGAATGTGTCTTCCAGGTTCCAACCCGTCTTGTACGGGATCGTTGGTTGCTGTGCCCTTGTCTCCGGGTGATAGTCGCCACTTTTACCTCCAACATGCTGCCTGTTGTGTCACTGACACCTTGACCCGGAATCTTGCGAGATATTCTCTGCTAGTTCTCCAGTACTCTCCTGATGTTATTACTGTTCAGAGTACAGGCGGCATCCGTGTTGCAAGCTAGGTTAGGTTGCTGCAACACGCTAGGTTGGTTTCCCACTCGGATGCCCCTGGGCCGCCCCATTTTGGTTAGGTGCTGTTCGCCCCTTTCCCTCCCTGTTCCCGGCTCGGTACCATCTGCGGGTTTTGAGGTCGGGGAGGGGTTTAGTTGGGCCGAGACTCGGGCGGTTTCGGGAGCTGCGCCGTTCGGGTTGGAAACGGAGGTTTTCGAGCCTGTTCCTCCTGCCAAGGCTTCTGGGTCTTACCAGCGGCCCTTTCTTGCTGCCTTTCCCATGGACTCTTCCTTTTCTTTGAGGGCGGAGAGCTTGGAGGACGCTCTGCCCCGAGGCATCTGTTGTGGGTTCCCGGGGCTGTGGGGGATGCCTGCTAGCAGTTCTGGGGCGGTTTGCCCCTGCCTGGGTTTTCTGCTTCTGGGCGGAAAACTGTGCCAGTCCCTTGTAATTTTCTTTTCACGTGTATGTGTGCGTAATTACCTAAGTGTAATTACCTAAGTGTAGTTACAGGATGAGAGCTACGCTCGTGGTGTCCCGTCTTCCCAGCACTCTTTGTCATATAACGCTTTGAAACTACTGACGGTCTTGGCCTCCACCACCTTCTCACTTAACTTGTTCCAACCGTCTACCACTCTATTTGCGAAGGTGAATTTTCTTATATTTCTTCGGCATCTGTGTTTAGCTAGTTTAAATCTATGACCTCTTGTTCTTGAAGTTCCAGGTCTCAGGAAGTCTTCCCTGTCGATTTTGTCAATTCCTGTTACTATTTTGTATGTAGTGATCATATCACCTCTTTTTCTTCTGTCTTCTAGTTTTGGCATATTTAATGCTTCTAACCTCTCCTCGTAGCT